CCAAAGTGGCATGAAATTGTTAACTTGTCACAGAAATTATTCACACGGCACAGCAGCCTCCCTTCTTATAGTCCTGCCCTCCACTTGCATGAGCTCCACAAACTTCTTGGGTCTGGAATCCTTCATTTGGTTCCTAGCAGGATCAGAGATTTAAATGTCACCTAAAGATATACCAGAAAAAAAAATCCATAATATCTCAAGCAGTGAAGAAGTAAACCAAGGGAAAAAAAATTAAAAACTGAAATGCTGTTCCTTGTGTATGTGAGTCACATTGAAGAGACAGATCAGCTTCAAGAGTTAAAAATCTACCTGTGATTGAAGAAATTATTCCATTCCAAATGTTTGTCTGAGTCTGATGTATTTTTCAAATTTTGCACTCATGTTAATGGTATTTAGGAACGTATTTTTAAAGCGTATTTTTCAGTTTTACTCTTCAAGTCAAAAATTGGGTAGATCTTAAAAAAAAGATTTCATAGGAATACAGTAAAAAGGAAAAAGTGCAGAAGCATATAAATAGACTCAGGGGCCCAACAGCAAAGCATAAACCATTCATTTCTGCCTCACACCTACTTGGAAAAAAAATTGCTGGTTTTACTAAAGAAAGGAGTGTACAACACTTAGTGACAGGTTTGTTCTTTCTAACCTGTAAGCACTTTAACTTGCTCTCAAAACATGCGAATCATAGGAGACCATGGTGGGAGCCATCTGTCTTCTTTGAAGAGATTTTGAGAGAATTTGATAGACTTCTAATCTACAGATCCTAGAAATGTGTTTAGATAGACTTCTGGGAGAAGTGTAGAGTCTTGCAAGGTAGGATGCCACAATATTTGTCAGATTTTTATTGCCCATAAGCCAAAGAAAAGGAGCTATAATTAAATACGTGTCAGGTGTCACTCACTGAACATCTGTGAAATTACTTTAGTCTTAATAAACTGTTTGAGTATGCATAGTAAAATTAAATAGCAAACACAAACCCAAACTCAGAGACAAGAAAGAATGATATTCCATAATACATCTAATGCCAGAAACCTCCTATTCAGATGATTGCAGGAATTGGTGGGGTCACTGGACTCCTTGATTTCAGCGGACTGCTCTGCAGCCCCCATTGTGGAAATACATCGGTCTGTGCCAGAAGGCTATAGGCAACAAAAGGAAAAGTTGAAACGGGGAGAACAAAGAGAGGTTCAACAGCACGGCTAAAACTTCCTCAGGTTATAGGGGAGCACCCACTGCATCTGCAGGCACTAACAAAGCAGTTCACTCCCTCTCCTCCCCTTAACTTAGTAAATTAGCTTCATAGTGGGACACCATTTGAATTAACAAAGATCAGATTGCCTAATTAACCTCCAAAATATATTTAATGCTTACTGTAATTGATATATTGGATCAGTCGAATTACTGCATGGCTCCAAAGTACTAAAAAATAATTGCACAAGAAAATTACTCAGCAAACATACAGTCTATGTTTGCTACAGTAAAGCTCTACTGGTTGTGGTGGAGAAATACATAATAAAAATGAATATATCTCAGTTCATTTGATCATAATAATATGATTCATCTTTGTAAAGTAATCCAAAACAAAAGCACATATATGAACAAAAAAAAAACCCAGAACCCTCTAATTTGTCCTAATAATATGCAGAATGATTCAATATAGAAAACCCATTTTAATTCCATGATCAAAAATTATCAAACATGCATATCAAAAAGGGACTTCCAACTGTGTGCAGTGAACTTCCTTACTGAACTCTACTGTTAATAAACTTAATTTCTAGCATGAACAGATAGATAGTAAAAACACATGTTCTACATGGAACCCAGTTTTATAATCAAACATGCTCTCTCCAAAAAACTTTTCTTTAATGACCTCACTGAAGTTTCTTGAAAATGTCAAACATACATGTAGTTAGCCTGTAAATAAGGTATGATCAACAGCCAACCTCCATTTAAAAGTAGACTAGTTGCTTGCTGTTTTCTGTAACAGCCTCAGCTATTCTTTGAAGGCAGACAACAGCATAAGGGAAAAATCTCCCTTCTGCTCCAGAATAGTAGCAGATACCAAACAGGTGCAAATGTTGGGACATACACCAGAAAGAATTGTAAGATTTCAGTATTTAGGCACATTCTTTCCTAATCTATACTCTAACTCAGCATATTCACATTTCTTCCTCATCTAAATGAAAAATTTGGGGCACTAGCAAGGCCACCAAATGAGGCAAAGACTGAAGGAAGTGCCAAGTTTAAAATAAAACTTTTCTTTGAGCTCTGACAATTGCATTGGTAACACTAGAATTTCTAGCACAATAGTGGCAATGTAGGACAGACTTCTGCACACTAAGTGGGATAAGAAATCAAAGACTATTGTTTAAAATGAATATTATTTATGTTAAGAACACGACTGTACACTAAGGCCAGGCTATTGTCCTGTATTCTTTGCAGACCAAAAACTCATGGTGAAGTTGATATTATATTACATCAGCAATGACTACACAGTATAAAATCAAATAAATAAATCAATAAATAAAATCATTCATAGCAAGGTATAACACTACTCTAGATTACCCTGTTAGGATTGGAATCACAACAATTTTAGGGAGAAGGATTTGTATTACATTTGCAGCTTGGAAGGCAAAGCCCAAAAGCCTCTTGACCTGTTCTGTGCAGTGGGACACAAAGACAGAAGCCACCCTCCAGTCATTAACAGGATAACAGTATGAGCAGGCTCACCCTATACCTCTGCCCCAGAACAGACTCAAGTCTTAGTACATCATGGATGTAGGAAAAGCCATAAAAATAAAAGTTTAAGATAGTATCAACATTATCACTGGCTTACATGCTCATAATACTAATATGCAGACAAAATAGATTGTTCCCTTAAGCACTTTCAGGTCAAAATCCTGTAGGCATGCTAGGACAGGTATCGCAAGGATATTAATTTAGCAGCAGAACAGAACTGTTTACATTTCAATTTATTTAGCTTTGTTTAAATTTGGGTGTTTTTTTTTAAAGTAAGTTTTTCTCCAAGATTTTTATGTAAATGAGTAAGCAGAACACAAGACTGGCTTATAGCAATTCTGACCATTCATCAAAACAGTTAACCCTCCATCATTACCCCCCAGTAAGACTACCATCTCTTTTTCGTGTTATAATCAGGTCTCATAAATAAATCTCATAAATAAAAAGGATTTAATTGTTATTAAGTTGTAATTTACTTGCCTATGAACCCAAGTAAAACCTGACAATATCCAAAAGCAGAAAAAACT